AAATGTTGTCGCCTGTTGAGCGAGGTGACCTTGCTCGGGCCCCAGGTGTACGGTTCCTAAAATGGCTGCCATATACACGTCCACTGATAGGAGACGCGGAAGGTATTAAACTGATCAGAACAATACTAAACACACCACTAATAAGGTTTCTCTCCTGTATGGCTCCTCAAGTGATGCTTAAGATTAGAAGCGGCTGAAAAGCATTTCTCACACAGGTATTAAACTGATAAAAATAGTACTAAACACTCCACTCCTATCTGGTGTCACATTAAGCTTGACGCGCGGGTACTGAGTGCAGTAAGAGGACCGACCAAGCCTCTTCTTCCATCTCCTGAGCACAAAAATCAATGCACGTGTACCACGACACTATTAGGAGGCAGCGGAAGGTATTAAACTGATCAAACAATACTAAACACACCACTCCTATCTGGTGGCACATTAACCCGACCGGCGCGGTGCCCCAAATTTACAGTAGAGGACCGATTGGCCTCTTCGCTGCATCTCTGTTACAGAAATCACTGCCATATCCATACAAATTGTACAGAATGTCCAGGATAGTTTTCCAGGGACAAATGTTGTCGCCTGTTGAACGAGGTGACCTTGCTCGGGTCCCAGGTGTACGGTTCCTAAAATGGCTGCCATATACCCGTCCACTGATAGGAGACGCGGAAGGTATTAAACTGATCAGAACAATACTAAACACACCACAAATAAGGTTTCTCTCCTGTATGGCTCCTCAAGTGATGCTTAAGATTAGAAGCGGCTGAAAAGCATTTCTCACACTCCGAACAAAAATATTTTTTTTTAACATTCTCTCCACTTTGAACGAAATGACGTTTGGGAAGAGATTAACATAATTAAGCACAGGCAGTAAAAATACAGTTTTTAGCCATACCCTGTAACTTTAAAACTACACATCCCATCTTCATAATTACATATTTGGAATCAGCACACTTAAAACATAAACATAACCAAAAATCAGCCAATCCATCCAGGGGTTAAAAAGTTAGCTGGAGGTCCCTTTATGACCGACCGCAAGCACATTTTCCTGCCCAAAACAGTTCCATAGATTTGGGCTGTGAGGTCGTCTATTTCAGGCTGAAACGACTAAGTCCCGCCCTTGAGAATGGGACTTGTTACTATTTGCGAGCCAAGGCTGAAAAACGGCTGAAAAAGACTAAGTCCCATCGCCGAATGGGACTTAGTCTCTGCAGCTGAAACAAGGCTGAAAAAAACGGCTGAAAAAAAGACTAAGTCCCATCGCCGAATGGGACTTAGTCTCTGCAGCTGAAATAAGGCTGAAAAAAACGGCTGAAAAAAAGACTAAGTCCCATCGCCGAATGGGACTTAGTCTCTGCAGCTGAAATAAGGCTGAAAAAAACGGCTGAAAAAACGACTAAGTCCCATCGCGAATGGGACTTGGTCTCTGCAGCTGAAATAAGGCTGAAAAAAACGACTGAAAAAAAGACTAAGTCCCATCGCCGAATGGGACTTAGTCTCTGCAGCTGAAATAAGGCTGAAAAAAACGGCTGAAAAAAAGACTAAGTCCCATCGCCGAATGGGACTTAGTCTCTGCAGCTGAAATAAGGCTGAAAAAAACGGCTGAAAAAAAGACTAAGTCCCATCGCCGAATGGGACTTAGTCTCTGCAGCTGAAATAAGGCTGAAAAAAACGGCTGAAAAAAAGACTAAGTCCCATCGCCGAATGGGACTTAGTCTCTGCAGCTGAAATAAGGCTGAAAAAAACGGCTGAAAAAAAGACTAAGTCCCATCGCCGAATGGGACTTAGTCTCTGCAGCTGAAATAATTTCCCATTTACTGAACCAAGTGGGAAATAGCAGGCAGGCACAAAGGGTTTGCACAGGTCTGGGGACACAGGGGACACCGTCTTAAAGGGGCCGTGTCCCCAACAAGTCTGGGGACACGGCCTTAAAGGGGCAGTGTCCCAATCTTCCTGATGTCCCAAAAAAGGTGTTTAAAGGGCCAGCACCAGTCACATAAAGAGTCCATAAGCCCCAATATGCCCACCGACAGTCTTAAAGGGCCATACACACCAAATAAAAGTGCATACATTTTCACAATCTCCCAGGGGCCATAGTCATGCGGGAGGAGGCTGGCAAAGAGGCTTCTCCACAACCCAGGGAAACAGGGCAATTTGCCATTTAAAGGGCCCGTTACAAATAGCAGTTTGTAACAAGGTGTCAATCCATATCTGCCAAGTGACCCGATGTAGGGGGAACAGTCCCTATTCTGCTCTGTGTCAGTGTGTATCAGGGATCCTTAGGACAGGTGTCAATCCATATCTGCCAAGTGACCCTATGTAGGGGGACCAGTCTCTATTCTGCTCTGTGTCCGTGTGCATCAGGGGCTCTGAGGACAGGTGTCAATCCATATGTCAAGGTGTCAATATGTCATATGTCAGGTGTCAATCCATATTGATTGTGATTTAGGAATGTTAGGTGATTTCTGCCCTTTATGGATTAAAACCAGACTCTGTATCAACTGTGTAATTTTCCATGGGAGTTTTGCCATGGATCCCCCTCCGGCATGCCACAGTCCAGGTGTTAGTCCCCTTGAAACAACTTTTCCATCCCTATTGTGGCCAGAAAGAGTCCCTGTGTGTTTTAAAATTCGCCTCCCCATTGAAGTCAATGGCGTTTCGGGCGGTTCGCCGGTTCGCGAACATTTGCGGAAGTTCGCGTTCGCCGTTCGCGAACCGAAAATTTCGGGTTCGCGACATCACTAATGATCAGTCTCTGCCACTGTTGTGTTTAACATTCAACCAGTTTCTACATTTACAATGGTTTTTTACTAACGTTATAATTAAAGGTGCATTCAAAGGGAATTTAAAATGTAAGGCAAGACTAGCAGAACGAAAACATAGCAAATTTAGAGAATTATTCCAATTTGGCTACTGTGTCCTTAGATTTGAAATTCACTTTGAATTCACTTTCAATTCTCTTTTTAGTAAATAATTCTGATAGATCTGCTTCACATTTGCGATACTTTGTAAAGGAATGAGTATTTTGGTCAGTCCAAAATGCTGCAATTCTTCTGCACCATTCTTTGAAAGCTCTGCTTGTCTTTACTGTCTTGCTCTATGATCAATGTCTGTCCATCTTTGAGATGATTTGTCATTTTTGTGATAAGTGTATTTGGGAGCAGCCGTCATCTATTTAATTAATTTTGTATTTACGTTGTTGTACTATTTTGTGTATTTTTGTATATTCGCCAGTGGGAATTTTGTGATTTTCTCAAGTTGGGCACAATCTGATGAAATGAAAGTGAGTAAGGTCCAAGTCAGCATTGTAAAGTGCTTTAAAATATTAACAAGACTCTTGTTTCTGCAACTAAAAAAATGAATTAATCTCATATTATTTACAAAGAACAAAATGTATCTATCATCTGAGATGGAATACTCCAAACTGAGTCTTCCATTGATAATATATAAGTAAAATATGTATAGTTTATATCTGCTAATTATACCGCAGTTCATATATAAATATATAGTGTAGATTGAATTAGCCGTATTAGTCGAGTAGCTAAGATGCCAATTGCATACTGCAAGACTCTGGTATTTTGGCATTATATATATATATATATATATATACAGGAACAAGTTTTGCTCTAATGTGAGAATATATTTGTGAATATATCACATTTTTATTTGGTTTAATGAAAATGACAGAAAATGACAATGACACCTTGTTTTAAATAACTTAGATAATTAACCCCCGCCCCAAAGTGTCTACAAAGGTGAGAACTTGTCTGTGTGCCCCTTAGAACTGTCACACATTTGACACCTATCATGGATTTAGACAGCAGTCCATATGATAGACAGATATAGTCTCATTAAAGAAGTGAGATCACAAACATGCTGCTTTGTCAACATGAATTTATCCATTACACATTCAACATTTGATATCCTTGTGTAAAAACATAAATAAATATTTAGATTCAACACTTTGTGATGTCTCCTTGAGAAGCATTGACATCAATGATCACTTCATGTAACTGTTGATCATTTCATGTAACTATTTATTTTTTTCTCCTTCTCGTACACGAGAATGAGGAATATTTACCACCCAGGAGGGGTGAGAAAATCAGTTTAAATTCATATATATATATATATATATATATATACATATCCACGTAGAAAGGCACTCACTGGTCTTAAAGTGTGTCTTTATTTACCATGATTAAGTTAAATCAGATCTACGTTTTAGACCCATCAGAATTTGGGTACGGACCAAAACGTTGATGTGATTTAACCTAATCATGGAAAATAAAGACACACTTATTTTTTGATTAATAAGACCAGTGAGTACTTTTCTTAGTGGATATTTATGTTAGTAGGCCGATGGCGTACCGTGACACTGAAGACACAAATGCGAGTGCAGGACCGTGGATACTATATATATATATATATATATATATATATATATATATATATATGTGTGTGTGTTTTATTAAACAAAAAACACCAACTGAGCAACTGCCCTCTGACACTTGTACTGGAGAATTTAAGCTTCAAAACATCTAGATAGCTGCTCACTGTTTACCAGAGACCTCTGTTCTCTTATCAGAAAGCTGCCTTATAGAACTTATTCCTTTAAACATATATTGTTTTCAAATGTAGCTGCTGTTGATCTTGAAGCAAAAAAAATAATATTTTTAGCTTCCTAGTTAAATATTTTTTTTGTATCTCCACTCTTAAATCCCTTAATAACCAATGAAATGACATTCATCTCATGAGATATAAATGAATTTGCCTAAACCCA